CAGGCCGGCTTTCTCCCTCATTATGTCTGAGTGGAGGATGAAGGCCAGCCTTGTGGACGCACCAGCTGCAGAGCTGCCCCACTTGCTGACTCCCAGGCTGAGCCCAGGCCTGTCTTCATTCCTTGTGACATTGACAATTAAAGTCATTTTGACATTAAACCTTTCCTTGGCTCTGCTCTGCTTCCACTCTTGACCTAAAAGCCCTTGGGCAGGGGTCACCAAGTCAGAGACTCCTTATAGGCCTCCACCCTGGCCCCCTCATTTTACAGAAACAGAAACTGAGGCTAGTCCCAACTGCGCAGCTTGGCGCTCGCCCCAGAGCCGGTGTTCAGCCCTTTCCCACCCCATCCCCCAACGTTCCATTTCCCACACTCCCAGGATCTCGGCCACAGTGTGCTTTCATGCTTAAGTCCACTGCCTGGAAAGGACCACGTTTTCTGAGAGGGCCTTCCTTAGGGAGGGAGAGCAAGGCTGTGTGCGTGGGAGCGGGCCCGAGGCAGATGTGGGGCTTAGGGAGAGGGGCCCCCGGGGCCAGCTTCTCAAGGCTGACGCATGTAACTCATTTCCCCATTAAGAGTTCTGAGAACATCTGGAGACATTTGGCAACCTCTTCTCTCACTAATGGCTTTGATGCTCGTGTGAGGTGGGGAGCTGGACCGTGGTCTCCGTGGTGAGAAGACAGCAGAGGAGGCAGGGGCTCAAATGAGGGCGGACCTTTGTTTGTTTGTCCCGGGATCCAGGGCCCCCATCCATCCATCCAGGGCTGCCTCTGGGGGCCGCGGGGAGTGGCCTGGGGGCGCCGGCCCCTCCAGAGGGAGGGAAGGAGGGTAGCTCTGCAGAACACAGGGTGCAGGGTGGGGCCTGGGGCCTTTCTGTGCTTCTTGGGATGTCTCAGCAGGTGAAGCCCTGCCTTCCCCACTCACTGGTCCCTGGCCTCTCTGCCCTCTGGCCGAGCCCATGTGCTTACCCTCAGATGGGGGACGGATCTCTTCTGCTTTTCTCCTCTAGTGCCCAGCTTCTCCGGGGTCAGAAAAAATGGCAGCCCTTCTCAGATGCCCATGAAGAGTTTTGCCTGTGTGTGTGCCCATGTATGTGAGGGCATGTGTGTACTCATCTGTGCGTGCCTACGTGTGAATGGGTATGTGTGTACCTCCATGGGTGTCTGGGCAAGGCTGCAGACACCTCTCACCTCTTCCAGCCCCTCCCCTAGTTACTAACGCCCCTCTCAATGTCCCACGTTCCCCCACCCAGGGCAGAGTCCCTAGACAACAGCCACCATGGCTCCCTGGTCTCCCCATATCCACCCCCACCCCCTCCAATCTGTCCTAAATACACCATCCAGAATGACCCTCTCCAGACATCTGACCATGCCGTAACACTAGTGTAAGCCCTTCGAAGGCTCTCTATCGGCTCCTGAATACAGTCTAACCTATGTGGTTTGGCATTCAAGGCTTTCCTCCTGCCTGTGATTTCTCTCACTTCTTCCCTCCCAATGGTCAGTGTACTAGATGGGAGCAATGTTCAGTCACTATCCATGGTGCATATCCAGTGTTTTCCCACCTCCACACCTTTGCTCGTGCTGTATGCCTTCTGGTTGGAATGCCCCAGCCATCCCACCAGTTCCAAATCCATCTAATTGTGTCATTAACCTGCTCCTCATCTATCTTTTCCATAAGAGGAGTATGAGCTGCTTTGTCAGAGGCTTTGCTAACATCGAGGGGAACGAGGTCCACTGAAGATCCCATCTCTTCTAGGTCAACAACTCTGTCAAAAAGGGCAGTGACGCTCCTGCTAAGCCACACCAACTCTGGGACCACCGTGGCACCCAGCCAGCCCCGGAGTTGCCCGTTCTAGAATTTTCCTTGGGATCCCTTGGAAACAAAGTCAGGCTCGCTGGCCTGCAGTTCATAGATTCCATTCCCTTGTCCTTCTGTCCCAGCCCTGTCCCTCCTCTGCCTTGTCCATGTTTGTTCAGAAGTCAACACCAATGAGTGACGCAGTCACCCTTGGGCCAGGTCACTCTGGACCCCAGGCTGTGGTTCATCTGGACCAGAGGAGCCAATTTCATGCAGAGAAGGGAGGGGGTGTCTGTCTCTGCCCTGACTGATCTTGGGGGGGTCATCCCCTACTATCCGTCTTTTTTCTGCCCTTTCCAGTCCAAAGGTCATCGTCTTTGTTAGAGAAAATGGACACAATCTCAACCGTGAGGATGAGAGGCCATGCCTTCTCCCTCTTGTCCGTGGTCACCCTCCCACCCACCCCTCTTTCGTTCCCCCTTTCCCCAGTTTTAGTGAGGTATGCGTAGTCCCATCTGCCTTCCTTCCTCCCACCTTGGTCCTCAGCCGCTCAGGGCAGGGAGCTCATCTTCTCTTCCACCCAGGGCCTAGCATGGTGCTCCACAAGAACGGAAATGTCATCAGCGGTCTGTCTGGTGGAGCGATGAATGAGTGAGCCAAGGCTCAAGTGACCAGCAGGATTTGGCTGGGTCAGGCACTGTCGGTGAAGTCCAAAACATGGGAATTGGCATTGGAGAAGGGGCATGGGGAGCTGGGGAGCGTCCAGGGAAGGAAAGCCAGGGTGGACGGGACAAGACCCAAGACCGGGATATTTCAGAATCAGCACGAGGCCCCGGGCATGGCTGGCCTGGTGCGGAGGAGCCCCGAGTGTGTGCAGAATGGGACACTTCTGGGGGCCAAGCAGAACAATGTGAATCTTCTCTTCACCAAGGGAATCGCTGCCCATTCCCCCAAACCCAGGTCATTTGGGAGGAACTGTGGTTTAGCAGCTCTGAGGGGTCTGAGACAGCGAGAAGGGGGGACCAGCGGCCTAGGACCATCTGCTGGGGGTGCCGTCAGGAGAAGGAAGAGGCCCCGAGCCTGGGACAGAGGACAGAGCGAGGGCAGGAGGGCGGGGGAGAGGATGAGCTCAGCCTGGAACACCGCCCCGCCAGATGAGGTCTCTGGTTTCCTGAGGAGGGGGTGGATGGAATCCAGAACCTTGGGCCAACCCCGCGAGTGACAGCGTTCACATGAGGGCCGGAGCTCTTCTGGCAGGCCTCAGTCTGGGCCCTGCAGATCATCAGGAGCTCCAGGAGTCCTGCCTTTCGTCCTGAGGAGGGCTGGTCTATGTCTTAGGTGCAGGGATAGCCAGCTGCCCTTCACTCGGGATTGGAGGGGGCTGCTTCCCGCCAGCCACGGCTCTGCTCTTAATCTCCTGGCTGTTTTGTGAATCAAGCCTCTCCACAGCTTTGGAAGCCCGCCAGTTCTGCTTCCATCCTCGAAGCCCCCCTGTCCTTCCTCCTAGAATCTCCCCCATTCCCCTTTGGAATCCCCCCGTTCTTCCAGGGCAGCCAAGCCAGGCCGCCCCCCAGTGCTGGGGCCTGAAGACAGCCCCAATCGTCTGTGATTCTTGTCCCATTGGGATCCCATCAAGGGCCAGGGGTTGGAACTGGTAGTGGCCGGGCTTGTGAGGTCTGTGTCCGTGTGCTAGGAAGCTACCTGGACACCCCCCTCATTAACAGCCCCTTGGTTTCTAGTTGGTAAAGCTTTGGAATTGTGTGACTGCCCTGTGACAGGCAGTCAGGGCAGAGGCCCATGAGAGAGTCATAGGGCTACCCTGGGGATGCCCTCATCTGCAATGGACACCCCTCCTCCTTCCATTCACATCATGAGCTGCTCGAAATAATGGGGTCCCCCATGGGTGCATTTTAAAGAGACAGCAGATGAGCCAAGTGGAGACCTGCTATCCCAGGACCTAAAAAGACTTCACGTTCTTCTCCCCGTCCTACATGAACGCATGCCCACACATACACACACTTGTACACACAGACACATACAAACCCACACACAGACACACATACAAACCCACACACAAATACACACACACACACACACACACGCGCACACTCCTCTATTGAATGTCCTCGCTTCTGTGGAGAACAGTCCTCCCCGCCCCGATCCTCAGGCCTTGGAGTCCCTGGCCTCTCCCTCCCCCTGCCCCATGCAGCCCAGCAGCTGCCAGACTGTCTTTGTCACCTCATGGTCTCTCTCTGCTCACACAGTGGCCCCCTGATCAATAAACCCACATGATTCCCTGTCCCCAGGGTTGGTGAAGGGTCCTCACAGCTGGGCAGCCCAGCTCTTTCTGTCTTCTTGGGCACAACACACTTCCACACGTATGCTCTGCGCTTCTACCCACACAGCCCCAGACACCTTCCCTCACCCAAGACGCCTCATCTCCCACCTCGGAGCCTTTGCCTGGACTCCTTTTCCTCCTCTCTGACACCCCTTTGACAGCCCCAAGGACACTCTGTCGTTTTTTCAGCCTTTTCTGGCCCCCCGACTGCTTGCTCCCCACTATGGTTACCTTGTGATGTGGGCCTTTTGGGGCGGCCTTTGACATGGAGGTACTTTTTTCTTTAGGCCCTTTTCCTATGGAGCAAGTTAGCCTTGTCTGCCCCGTTAGAAAGTAAGCTTCGTGGGGGCAGAGGCTGGCATACAGTACTGAGCTTCATACTGTTTTATATGTTGATCATAGTGAGATAACAGTGTGTGTGTGTGTGAGTGTGTGAGCATATGTGTGTGAGTGTGTGTGTGTCTATGTGAGTGTATGGTTATGGGTGTGTCTGTGTGTGAGTGTGTGAGTGTGTGTATGTGTCTATGTGAGTGTGTGGTTATGGGTGTGTCTGTGTGTATGCGTATGAGTGTGTGAGTGTCTGGATGTGTGTGAGTGTGTGTGTGTGTCTGTATGTGAATGTGTGTGAGTGTGGCATCTGTGTATGTGTGTGCATATTTCACAGGTGTGTGGATATGGACATGTGTGTGGGCATGTGTCTGCAAGCTCCTAATGGGTTTCCCCTCCTCTCCCTCTTTGTGCCCAGTGAAGAAGAGCCCTTCGTCCCTGGAGGTGAACCCCGGCCGCTTCTTGAGGACCAACAGCTTTGCTGAGGACCTGGATCTGGAAGGAGAGACCCTGCTGGCCCCAATCACACACATCTCCCAGTGAGTGCCCAGGTCCAGCATTGCCGGGGCTCAGGGCTCCCGGCGGAGGAGGAGGAGGGGCCCTTTGTCTGGCCTGAGGGGGCTGGGTTGCCAGGACACAGATAAAGGGTGGGGCATGGCTAGGCCTGGCCTAAATGTTGGCAAGAGCTGGTTTCTCCCAGACCCCCCGAAGGGCCGCTGGCTCTTCTGATAGGATGACAAAGGTCCTTCTGAGCCCTGGGGGGAAGGTGAGGGCTCCCTCCTGGCCCCCTCAACTCTGTGGGGGCTGGAGGCTGAGCCCTTGGAGGCCTCTTAGTGGAGGCTGGCTCCTGACATCCCCTCACGCCACCCTTCCTTGTGCCCCTCGGCTTCCCTGGTATCTGTCCTGGTTTTACTCCTGTTTGTCAGGTCCTGGAAGGAAAGCCCCCAAGTTGGGGGGCCAGATCTTTGCCGGTCCCCTCTGGGGGCCTGTGACTGATGCCTGGGTCACCCTGTCTGTGTTATGCTGGGAGTGGGCGAGCTCCGTCCGCACCCCCCAATGGGGAGAGCAGAGGCCCAGGAAGCAGCATTAGCTTGGCGGGGGAGGGGGGCAGCTGCCCACACCACCAGCCAGCCAGCTTCTGGAGTTGGGGAGCCCTCAGGTTGGTGAACGGGCCTCAAGGGACAGGGGCCTGGCTGAGGAGTCTGCCCAGGGCTCCTGGGCCCATGGACACGGCCTGCACAGGTCTCAAAGGATGCTTACTTAACTCGCAGACCCAATGTCCTCTGCATCCTCAGCTTGGGTGCTGAGGCCCTGCCCCTGCCAGGACCCATCCTCCAAGGAGGAGAGCAGGCCCAGGGACTGACTGGTGGTCAGTGCCTCACACCCCCCTCCCAAATCACCATTCTAGAGACGGCCCGCCAACAAACTGGCACTCGTGAAGCTGAAGGACGGGCGGCTCCCCAGATTAAGGGTGCAAGAGGGCGGCCGTGGGGAGTAGGGCCCCTGGCCTTGACTGTTCCACAGTGAGATCAGCCCTGGATGTGAGGCACGGTGTGATGGGGAGGCCCCGGAGGCAGGATCCCTTGGCGACATCCTGGGACGGCATTCTGGGTGTGCCAGCTTTTGGTTTCTCTCCTGGCACAGAACTGGGGGCCAGGCTGGTGGGGGGGGCTGGCAGGAGCAGTTTCTGCTGGTTCGACAGTTCCCTTCACGCAATACCCCCATCTCCCCACTCTTCCTTACCACTCCCCAGGCCTGACTGGAACCCCCACCAAGAAAGCCTGGCCCCTGCCCAGTGCCAGCCATAAACAGAGAATATCTAGTCCCAGGCCAGGTATGGCAGCCCCAGTTTGGGTCTCCTGAATCTTTGGATAGGCATTCCTTCCAATTAATATTTGGCCCAAACCTAACAGCACAGAGCCACACCACTCCAGAGCCCAGGCCCTGTATGTTTCCTGCTCACTTCTAAGGTCTCGAGACTACCCCCAGACTTCCTGGGCTTGACTTGACTAAGCAGGGTCGACGTTTGCAGAAGAGAGTTGAGCAAAATGTTCTTCCCTTCCATCGTGGCAGAGGTGGGGGACTATGGGAATGGAGCATTGCATGCAGTCACACACCATCCAGGCATGAAGGTTGCTTCTTCTTTTTTTAAATATTTATGACAAGAGAAAGCTCCCTGTGTAGGGCAGAGAGATGGCCGAGAAGGAGGAGATATAAAAGCTGAGGGCGCTTGTTAAAAACCAAAGAAACGCTGAGATTTCCTGGGGCTTTTTCTGGGCTTGGACTTCCTTCTGTTGGGATATGGTGGCCCACAGTTTAATGGCTGAAATTCACTTAAAGTGGGAAGAGAAGGAAGCATGACTGAGGCCGAGTCAGAGCCTGGATCCGGATCCCACCTTGGCTACCTCTCACTGGTGTGGCCTTCAGGCAATCCCTCTGTGGGCCTCAGTTTCCTCGTCTGTTAAATGTGGGGGGGGTCTTTCCCCTGGTGCCAGCCTTGTCTGGGGGAGGGTGTGGATGCCCTGTTTTATAGGACAGAATAGAGCTTCAGGGTGCAAAGATGGTTGGAGAGGAGAGAAGCAAAGCCTGAAACAGTGGTCATGGGTCTGGGGCATGGTCTCCAGTATGGGGAGAAAGGTGTTTAATGGGGCTGTGGAGGAGATGGCCAGAAAGGAAGGCACTGGTGTGTTGAATTGAACTGGCCTGATTGTCCACTTGAGTGCAGGGGAACCACCTTGAACTGGGGAAAGATGGTGGCTTGAGGCTGGGTCCCTGGCAAGCCCAGAGAGACAGGCTTCCCATTGCCAAAGGGGATGTGGCATCCCTATCACCGCGGATGTGGCTAACTTGGACTTGTCTGTGGTCTGGGGTCTTGGGGTTCTTCTTCTTAATAGAATCATGGGCCCGGGGGGGCCTACTGCTCATGGACTCTATCCTAGAGCTAGGAGGAGCCCACCCCCATTGTGGTAGAGATAGGGAAACTGAGGCCAGAAGAGGGGCAAAGGTTTGCCTTCAGTCTCCATGACTGTGGAGGCAATGTCCACCAGGAACAGCCCCGCCCTGCCCCCTAGCGGAAGAGTGTGGAAGTGTCTGGGCTCCCCGAGAAATCCCCCCCAGGGCTTGTCTTCCCTTCTACCCTTTGGGCAGATGCTGTGAGGGAGAAGGGTTGCCTCTTCCGCTAGAGAAGAAACTTCCCCCTCCCCTCCTGTACAAAATGGGGGTGACTGTGGCTCCCCATTGCTGTAAAAGCCCTGAGAGGGGCACAGGGTCTGCAGAAGGCTGTGACTTCTCAGAGACCTTTCGAGGGACCGGAGCTGGAAAATCCTTGCCTGGAAGTCTTTACCATTTGGGTTCTAGCCTCTGCCCGAAACCGCTGGCCCCGCTTGTTTCCATCCCAATGTTGACTCTCCCTATAACCAGTGAAGGCAGATATTATATGGGACCAGCCTCACAGTCTGGCTTTCACAACCCGCGGAGCCGCCAGCGGGAGCCAAAGGACACTTGGGCTTTCTTGGGATGTGATGTGGAGAGATTTTCATCCATGGAAAATGTTTCTTGGGGAAATCTGAGCTGGGGCACACAAATGCCCTTTCACAAGGTGTTTGGAAAAATCCAGTGTGCACAGGTGGCGGGTGGCTGGCCGGGCTCTGGCCCTGGCCCCCTGCCCACAAGCCTGCATTCAGGGATGGCTGGGTACCCCAAGGGCCCCGTGCTCCGGGCTGGGGACCCAGGCACAGAATGAGCACAGCCCGCCCTCAGGGATCTTCCCCTACTGTGTACCCACATGGCTGTACCGAAGGCAGGGAACCGGGGGGGGATCTAGGCAGGCAATGTAAGGCTTGGCCCTGAGGGGGAGCCGAGTGTCCCTGTGGGAGTGGGGGCCTCATCCCCCCACCGCTGCGGGCATCACTGGCATGGGAGAGGAGAGGTCTGGCAGAGGCACCATCCCTGCAGCGGAGGATGCGGTCCTTCAGGATGGCGGCCTCAGCCTGCTCTACCGTGACGGGTTAGCGGGGCTCTGGCCATGAGGCCACCATGCCCATTTCCTGAGCTCCAGCCCTCGGACCCCCACTGACTTCCTGGGGTTTTCTTGGCTGGCCTGCAGCCTCCTCACCGTGGCCTGATAGTCGTTCATACTCTTTTAGAAAGATGATTCCCTTTTTTAATCTCGCCCTTTTATTTCCCAACACCCTCGTGAAGCCTGAGAAAATATTGCTTTTTTGTCCTTTGCTTTCAAGTGGTGAGGGCTGAGGTTGAGTCCTGCTGGCCCTGGGATTGCTAGTGAGAGGCCGGGCCTGTGGTTAGGCCAGGCTGAGGCCCTGCTCTGTCGGTCCAGTGGCAGGAGGGCTGGTGAGCCACAGAGTTATCCCACCGCCATGGCCCTTCTACCTGGGGCCAAAGAGCGGCAAGTTCCTGGTCTGCCCGGCACACTTCCTCCTTCCGACCTGTCTGGGGAAGCTCCCCACCATCCCAGCTGCGACAGGAAGGGGCTTGGGGGAAGCCTTCCTCTCCCCTCCCACCATGTGGTAGAGGCAAAAGCCTCCAAGCGGGAGGCTGAGGCCAGGGTTCCAATCCTAGATCAGCTTTCACTGCCTGGTTACCCTCTCTGGGCCTTGTTTCCCCCTTTGTTGGATCTGAAGAGCTCTCAGGCCCCTCTCTGCTCTAGAGTGCGCTGAAGGCATCTCCCACCACTTCCATCAGGCTCCATCCTGCCGTGGACCACGGTTGGGCGTGACTTCTCAGTGAGCTTATACACCCTCAGAGGAGAGGGGCTTGCTCTCTTCTGCTTCCTGGCTCTCCCATCACTGTTAGATTTGGGCTAAGTGCAAGGTCTGGATTCCACACACTCCCTGAAGGCTGGCTGGCTGAGTGCGTGGATCCTAGGTGGATGGGTAGATGGACGAACGAATGGTGCACTCTTCCCAGGCCTGTGTCTGGTCCACTGGTCTTTCCTTCTGAGGCCGTGGGAGCAGTGGTGTACTTCAGGTCACCCTGGGGAAGACACTGACCCAGGAAGCCTGTGCTTGCTTCTAGGGCCTTGGCCTGTGGCAGGGGCCACCACGGTAGAATCCATCTACCCATAAGGGTCAGAGATAGGCTGGGCTCTACATCCTGGAAGGCTTTCTTGGATGCTGGACAGCGCTTAGAGGCCATTCAATATTGTACTTTCATTTTATACCCAAGGAAGCTGAGGCCTCAGGAGGGGAGGCCTGGACCCCAAACCACACAGGTCATAAGTGGCAGAGGTGGAGGTTTCATTTCTAGGGCACATGAAGGTTGTTTGAGAGTCTGGAGAAGGCAGAGGGAAGGTCTTGAGAGGGGGAGGCAGAGACAACCCCAGGGACAGGGTCGGGGCCTGCCACGTTCTTTGCCTTGGAATGATCTGCATGTCCCTTGGGTCGGCAGAGGGCTCAGGCTGTAGTCAGTGGGTCTGGGAGGGCAAAGGAAGGGAGGGCCCAGCAGGCAGGGGAAGTTCCTGGCTTGTCCTTATCTCCCCCATGCCCGGTAGAGAACCTCGTGATAGGATGTGCCCAGAAGT